ATATTGCTATATATTCTATAGTTAGTAATCAATATATAGCAGTCTATTTTTTTTGTTAATGTAATTCATTTTGAATCTTTTATCAGTTTGTTTAGAAAGTTCAAATTGTGTCTTATAGACAAACTTGTACTGTTAAATTATGAATAATCTAGTTTTTTTAAGTGTATCTTACAACTATTATATGTTTAAAATTATGTTAAATATAGTTATTATTCAAACAGTTTGCTTTAATTTGTTTATAGTTAAGCTTATCAAAAAAATATAATTGACCAATTTTATTATAAGTTTATTAAACTTTATCAAACCATCTGTAAAGTATTGTAATCTCAAATAAAGTTAAGTAAATTCTAATCTTAAGAGTTTTTAATTTAAATCTTTCTGGTAATAAAGTGTGGTCTTTATCATCAGATTCAAATACTAAATACTTTTCTAATCTAAGTATATTGATTAATAGATAGTCATAAAGTTTGAAAAATAGTTTAAGTGTTAGTAAACTACTTTTATAAATTATTTTGTTTTTTGTATTATGAATTATCTTATTCTTTTTTACATTTATAATAGACTCAAAATACCAATTTTGAGTTTTTTATAAAAAGTTTTAATTTATTTTAGCTAATTAAAAATAAAAAAATTTTAATTTAATTTTATTTAAATTTAAATCTTTATATATCTGTATTTATAAATATTTAAAAATATAATATTATATATTTTGAAGCAAATTATAAAACACAATATTTTTAAATATTATTATTTATTTATAAAAATATACTTACTGATTAAATTAATAAAAATAATAGTTAATATTTAGTATTATATAATTTAATATAAAATAGTATAATTTTTTTTTAATATTAAAATGAGTACTTATGATTTAGGATTTTATTGATAGTATATATTAGCTGACATTTGTTATATAATAAACACAAAGACAATTATAAAAAGAGTATACAATTAGCCACTTGTATAACTTTAGTTATTTTCTAATTTAAATAGTTACCTAAAGGGTTTATACTAGTTGTCATATCTAAGATCTATCTGTAGATTCTTTATTTAAATACTTTAAATTTTGTATTTATCCTAACTTACTAATAAGTCTAATAAACTAATAAAGATATGCTATAGTTACTAAATTATATTTAATTTTGTATTAAGTTTACTAGAATCTTCTATATTTTATATTTACAACTAACTTAATATTGTTTTGGTCTAAACTAGTACTTGCAATTAGAGCTAACTATTAAACTGCTATACTTTTGTAAAGTTTACACAAATTTTGATATCCATTTTTTTAATGTCTTTTCTATCATTTTCTACTAACTGCTATTCAGAACTAATAAGACTTTTCAAACTTTCAATTCAAATAATTTAGTATAATATATTTTAATATTTTTTTTGACAGCCTAGTTTATTATATGTCTTTTTATACATCTTGTTATTTAGTTTATCTGTTTATCTTTTTAGAGGTGTTTTATAAGCTTTCATCAATTCAACAATATTATTAAAAGTTTATATTACCTTCTTACTTAGAATTTCTAAATAGGTTTTCAATTTTTTAGTTCTTTTACTTTTTATATCTAGTGGTTTTATTATAGGTTTATACTAAAGTTTTATATAATACTAATTATTAACATTTTTCTATATATATGTAATATTATACTTTGCATAAATTTTTTAAGTTTTTATTTACAATAATGCAACTGAAAGTTACAAATATACAATTTAACTAATTAACAAAGACAGTTACTATAACACAAATATAATTTTTAAAATTTATTAGCTATGGAATTTGAATTCTAAATTTGTTATTTAAAAGTTAATAATCTGTCTATTTTACTAAATTATCACATTCTACAAAATATTATAATTCTTATATATTATTTATAATATTTAGAATAGTAATTTTAAAAAATATAACAACTTAGTGAAATGATAAATTATTATTCTAAAGATGTGGCAACTTAGTGAAATGAATAAGTTGTCAACCCTCTAAGTAATAGGTTAAGTGTTAAAATCCTATCAATAGTAAAAATTTAAATAATCATTTATGTAATATTTGTATTATAGCAACTGTTTCTAATAATTAAATTAAGATATTTGTAATAATAGTTATATTAGTATAACTGGCAGATTATAAGCATCTGTATAACTGATTATACAGAGGAATGCAAACTGACATTAGGTAGTGCAAACTCTAGATAAGTTCTTGTAAGCATGTAAATCTGTTGAAATTAGAAACAAAAAGTCTATTTAAAAAGACCTAATTAAAGAGGTAATATAAATCTTTAATAATACTACTATAAAGGCTAGTTTGAGAAAACAGATACCAATGTTAAAATACTTAGATGGGCAAGAATCTCTAGATTGAGAGTTTCAGAGGTACTACCAATTAGCTGCTAGAATGAACCAGAGAAAAAGAATATCAGACTAATCTAGTATACTAATGAATTGATTATAGTTCTATATAGGCTATTTGAATTAAAAAGCTAAAAAACAGACTGAGATATACTAAAGTACTGGACTTATATTGTAAAATAAATACTAAAGTTTGAGTAAACTATACAAGAACATAATAGTTAAATTATAGGATGTGGTGACCTAGTAAAGTAGTTAGGTTGTCAATCTCTTAAGTGGTAGATTGGGTGTTCAAATCTTATTAACAGTGAAAATTTGGATAATCATCTATATAATATTCATATTATAGCAACTGTTACTAACAATTAGGTTAGAATACCTGTAATGGTGGTTACACCAGCATAACTGGCAGGTTATAGGACATCTGTGTAAGTATAACATTATACAGAGAAATGCAAACTGACAACTTGGGCAATGCAAACACAAAATAAGTTCTTGTGTCTATATAAATCTGTTGAAATTAGGTAACAAGAAGTCTATTTAGAAAGACCTGAATAGAGAGGTAGCTGGATCTTTAATAATCCTACTGTAAAGGCTAGCTCAGAAAAATAGATACCAAGGTTGTAGTACTTAGTTGTAGTAGTTAGACAGGCAAGAACCTTTTGGTTAAGAGTCTCAGAGGTACCACTAATCAGGCCACTGGAATGAACTAAAAAAAAAAGAATATCAAGCAAACCTGATATACTAATAGACTGGTCATAGTCCTATATGGGCTATCTGAATTGGAAGTTTGATAAAAAGTCAGATAAAAAAGCAAAGATATACTAAAGTACTGGGGGTTATGCTGTGAAGTAAATGCTAGGGTCTAAGTG